CACCCAGCACACACACTTTTTGCCCCACTCCCCTCAGGAAGGAGGTTAAGGAGCATTAAGTGTAGAACCACTAGACTGAGGAACAGCTTCTACCCTGAGGCTGTTAGACTCATGAATCTCTAACTAGAATAATCACTGTGAAAAACCATATCATGTTGCTGCTGATCTGTTTCATGTTGCTGCTGATCTGTTTCAATGTTGATGTGTTCATGCATGCACATCTGCTCACAGACTCATGTTCATGTTTGTGCTGATGTTCAATGTTTTATGTTATGAGTGCTTAGTGTATATTTAGTTGATGTTTTTCTTAGTTCATATCTTAGATGTTATTACTGTTTTTCTTAGACATTTTATTGTTGGATGTAACTGGGACCCCGTGTACATAATTTCGCTCCACCACATGTACCACATGAGGTGCGAATGACAATAAAGAAACTCTGACTCTCTGACTCTGACTCTGACTTTAAACGTTTCCTGAAATGCTTTTTTAAAATATAAGAAATAGACTAATAAGTCTACCTTGCCCACTGTTTCTCTGTTTCTCTCTGACAGTCTTCCAGCTGTGTGAGTCTCGTCTTTCTTTCTCTGATTTGCCACAGTTGGTGCTTTTCTACTCTCTAACCAGGTAAAAACCAGTTTTCCATACAAGCATGTTAACAGGATCTGTACAGTATGTCCAGATAGTTTTTTTTATCCATGTCTGTCTCTTCTTATGTATCAGGGATGTGCTACCTGTCTGTCTGGTCATTCCCTGTTGGATCTACAGCTTAACAAAGATGAACAAAGATTGTCTCATTCCGCTCGAACCCAGTGAGTCCTAGGATCATTTTTCTACAGCAAAAACACAAGATTAGAGACTTTTATCTGACTTTTCATGTGTCTTTTATGCTTCCTCTACAGAAACTTGGCTTATCACACCACCTGAACTGCAGACTGAGGAAATGACAAACAGGGAACTAAGTAATGTTATGTGCTCCATACAGGTATGTTGCTTTTTGGGTCTAAATATGAGAAAAGGATACCAGCATCAATAGGGGAATAACTTCCTTGTTTTGTAAACAGAGGAAGTTTAAAGTCAGAGCATCCTCTCAAAACTTCATGGAGTACAAACAAAACAGTCTTCAGGTGTTCTGATGCTGAACTTCACCTTGAATTTGTGTTGAAATCAGATTTTCTGTCCAAATCTCAAATTTATCTTGTCCTCTATTCTCTCTACAACCTAAATAACATATTAGAACATGGTGGGAGTCGGCAAAGTTGAAACACCCCCTTCAGTATGAAGACAATCAAGACCCTCTTAGACATTGTCAAATAGGTTTTCCTTCTTATAGGGTCCAGTTAGCTACATCAGTTAATCATGTGATCTATGTCCTGACGCATGCTCAATAATCCAGTTAGATTAATCTAAAAGGGCTGTCCTCATACCTGTCCTGTACCAGTCTAACATACTTCTCCACTCCAGATATCCGCATGCAATACCACACCTCCTCCCTCGACACCCTGTCATACGCTTTTTCTAAATCCACAAAGACACAATGGAGTTCTTTCTGACCCTCTCTGTACTTCTCCATCAGCATCCTCAAAGCAAAGATGGCATCTGCGATGCTCTTTCTTGGCATGAAACCATACTGCTGCTCACAGTCACCTCTCATCTAAGTCTAGCTTTCACAATTATCTCCCAGATCTTCATTGTGTGACTCATCAACTTAATTCTCCTGTAGTTGCTACAACTCTGTGCATCACCCTTGTTCTTACAAATGGGCACCAGCACACTTCTCCATTCCTCAGACATTTTCTCACCCTCAAATATACCATTGAATATTTGAATAAAAAAAACACACTGCCATCTCGCCAAGACATTTCCAAACCTCCACTGGTATGTCATCAGGTCCTACTGCCTTCCCCTTCATAATTTTCAGAGCTTCCAGACTTCACCCTCACTAATCTTGCCCACTTCCTGGTCCACAGTTTCTATGACCTCTACTCTTCTTTCTCTTTCATTCTGTTCATTCATTAGCTCCCCAAAGTACTCCTTCCATGTTCCCGACACACTCTCACTTTTTAAAACATTACCATTCCTATTTTTAACAAGCCTAACCTGTTGCACATCCTTTCCAGCCTAATCCTCCTGTCTCGCCAGTCAGTACAAGTCCTTCTCACCCTTTTTAGTGTCCAGCCTCCCATACACCACTTCATACTTTCATTCATTCAACCTTTATTTAGACAGATAAATCACATTGAGCCTCAAAGACTCATTTACAGGTGAGATCTGTTTGGACAGAAAAAATGTAGTGAAACTAGACACATGTAGGAATTAGAGGCAAAAAAAAATTCCTATTAAACTTTTTCTTCTTGGCTGTGAAGAAAAACTAATATTAAAAAAACATGTTCGCACATACAAGCACATACAAGCACATAGTGACGTAAACATTCCGCAGAGGGGGGGGAGAGACGACGAGAGCGGTGAGCAATGTCCAAGGATGCTCTTAAGGGCAATGTAAGAGTTCTGATAAGGATGAAATAATCAACCAGTTCCCTCCGGTGAGATCCGTAAACATTTTCGAGGGATGTCGGGGAATGGCCAAGGACAACGCCTATGGGAATGCAAGAGTTCTGAAATGATGACACAATATTTATCAGCTGGTTTCCTCTGGTTGATCAGTTGGAAATTCCTCGATGGGAGGGGGAGGGGGGCAGAGCATCAGATTACATGTTCTCCATACGAATTCAGATGAAGTGGCTTTCAAGGCCAGTCAGGGGAGCCAAATTCAGATAAACACACTGTTTTGGGGACAGGCAGAACTTAATGACACCTTCTGCTTTGCCCTTGCCATCTCCTTCTTTGCTCTACATCCCATCTCCTTATATTCCTGTCTCCTCTCTTCAGCCTTCTCACTGTCATATTTCATCTTGGCTAACCTCTTTCTTTGAAAAGCTTCCTGCACGTCATTATTCAACCACCAGTTTTCCTTATCATTCATTCTCTGTCCAGATGACACAACAAGTACCTTCCTACCTGTCTCTCTAATTACTGTTGCTGTAGTAGTCCAGTCATCTGGAAGCTCTTTCTTACCACCTATAGCCTTTAACAGCTCCTCTCTGAATTTTTCACAACATTCTTCCTTCTTAATCTTCCACCATTTGGTCTTCTCTGATTTTACTCTTTTTCTTTTCTTCACAACAACAGTCATTCTACACACAACCATCTGATGCTGTCTGACCACACTCTCTTTTGCCATAGGTCCCCAATCTCCCTCAGGTTTCTTCTTTTACACAAAATGTAGTGTACCTGTGTACTCCTTCCTCCACTCTTAATGGTCACTCTATGTTTCTCCTTCTTTTGGAAATAAATGTTGACTACAGCCATTTCCATTCTCTTGGTGAAATTCACTACCATCTGTCCTTCCTGGGGTTTTTTTTCCTTGACACCAAACCGACCCATCGCTTCCTTGTCCCCTCTGTTTCTTTCACCAACATGTCCATTCACTGTTTACAAATTTACTTCCCTCAGCACACTGGTGCACATTCTGTTCAGCCTCTTCTTCACTGCCTGGCTGACATCAGGGTCTGGATGGCTTTAAATTTCTTAAGTTTCAATGAGAAGAAGACTGAAGTCATGCTGTTTCCTCCTAATAGCACTATCAAGAACCACTTCATCGACCTTTCCTCTCTTGCCCCGTTAGAGAAACAAGGAGTCACAAATCTGGGAGTGATAATGGACCCTTCCATGAAACTTTACAGTCATGTAAGCATGATTGTTAAATCCTGTTTTTTCCAGCTGAGGCCACTGTCTTAATTGAAGCCTATACTGTCCAAAAACGACCTTGAGATTGTAATACATGCATTCATAACATCCAGACTTGATTACTGCACTGCACTTCTTTTGGGAATCAGTCAGACCTCCATCGCACAATTACATCTGGTCCAAATGCTGCAAATTTTAACCGGTACAGGCAAAAGAGAGCACATTACACCAGTTCTGGCCTCCCTGCACTGGCTCCCGGTTCACTTTTGAATTCAATTCAAAATCCTTCTGAATGTTTTCAAGTCTCTGAACAGTTCTGCCCCTCTTATCTCGCTGATCTGCTGCAGCCAAATGTCCCACAGCGCTCTCTGAGGTCAGCAGATCAGATGCTCCTAGTGGTTCCAGGAACCCGTCTCCAACTCAGAGGTGACGGGACCTTCTCTGTTGCAGGTCCAAGACTGTTGAATGATTTACCACTACATGTCAGGTCGGCTCTCACACTCACTGTTTTTAAGTCTTGCTTAAAAACTCATTTTATTCCCTGGTTTTTGACACAGTGATTTGTTTTCAATCCTGTCTGTACTCTACAATGTAGCCTATGTTAGTTATTATCTTTTTCCATTTGGATCTATGTTTTTATCCTGTGTCCTTTGCTTGTTTTTCATGTACAGCACTTTGGTTGGCCTTGCTGCTGTTTTAAGTTCTTTATAAATAAAATGGTATGGTATGGTATTCAGGTCTGCTCCAATCACTCTCTCCTCCCTGTGAATACTCTCTGTCACTTCATCCAGATCCTTCTTTTCCACATCACATCCAACTTGTGGAGCATAACCACTGACACCGTTAAGACTCAGACCTTCTATTTCTACCTTCAGGCACATCACCCTATCTGACACTCTTCTTACATCTACTACATTCTTTGCCAACTCCTCCTTCAAGACCACCCCTACTCCATTTCTCTTTCTATCCACATCATAGTAAACTGTTTGAAACCTGCTCCAATGCTGTGAGCCTTGCTGCCGTTAGTAATTATAGTAGCCTACTTTCACACACAGTAGATTAGTTTTAGAAGAATTTTAATCTTCAAAATAATAATATTTTCTGCTGAAAACCAAATATGTCGGCCTAAGCAGCTAAATGTAAACAACAGTAAGCGTCTTATGTCATTAATTAATAGTAAGCCTATTTTGCAACATGTACAGCCTACATAACGTAACACCTTTCATGCCCCAAGAGATGATACAGCTTCATACCTTTTTATCTTTTGCTTATATCTCTTCTTCTTTTCTATTTTTCCTAAACTGGGCACCTGATGACTTAAACCTGTTCTTGTCCATCTTCCATGTGAGTAGCTAGCACACGAGAAGGTTAGGTTATCACCGCTCAGCCCTAAACATGAGTCAAAACAACTTAGGCCTAAACTAATTCACCTTCCTTGGTGTGCAGATTCGTTTTTGTATTACTGTTTTCAGCAATATCACACAAATAAGCTGTGAACTATTGGCTATATTCATGATATTATGAATGAAATGTGCTTTGTTTGGGAGTAATCAATTGTGTGATTTACTTAACGAACCACTTCTATTAGGTGTACAATGCATCCCTGGCCCAGCAAGGGAGATGAGAGAATCCCCCTCTTTCTCCCCCTCCCTTTCTTTCACAACCTGTTTGTCAGACCTCAGCAAAAGATACACACCCTGCACCTGGCATAGGGCACCCACTACCCACAAGTGGGCGATAGGAAACTGATGTCGTGGACAAAAGAGATTCCCAAAACAATCGTGTGTAGACATCATCAGATTTATTATAAGGCTTTGGAGAACAGCCAGCAATCGTAGAAGATCAATGCATTTGCAAGTACACACATATAATGCCTTCACCTGTCTGAGGTTCTGACCCATTCTGACTTCCCAAACTGAAAAAGTTTGTTTTGTAGAAACACCCATGTGCCAGTCTTCCAGCCCCTCTCACCCTGTCGTGCTGTTCCCATAACCCAGCTGCAGACAGAAACGATGAGGTATGTGGAAAGCCAAACATCTTCCAAGGACTCTATGGAACCACGTCACTGTAATCATATCAATTAAACCTTGAGGAAAAGAAAACTGATCTTGTGCTGTCTCTTTACTGATCAGTCACGTCAAGACTGATTATTACATAGAGTAATGATCACAGAACATTTTAATATAATTCATGATAACAGTAAAAAGCAGTGCATGAATACATGAATCAAGTAAAATGAAGTATGGTGAGTGCAAAAAATACACATTCCCTTGACGACTGATATGTAGGTTAGACAGTTTTGTGAAATAATGTGTTTTATTTTTTTGAGGAGAGGATGGGTCGAGACCAGGTGCTCATGCCGCTCTTGACAAAATGAAGCCTTGAGCATCTACCTATAACTCCCATATCAGAAACTGCCACTGTTTGCAAGCAACAATGCTAAAAGCTATTACATCCTATTTGCAGGTTCATCAAAGTTTATTGTTGCTTTTGATGCCTAACAATTAACTTTTTCACAGTGTTCCAATGCTTATGTGCCAAAAGTCAAATAAATGGCGCAAAAGTGAGACATATACTGAATAAAAGGTTACCTTTTGAAAAGTTAACTGACTGATGCATTAAGATGTTCAGAGTGTCACCATCTACGCCTTGTAACTGCGACTTTCCTTCCCTCTGTTGACTACGGTGACATTATTTACATGAACACTCCTACAAGCACCCGGCAGATGCTGTCTATCATGGTGCACTAAGTTTCATAACTGGCTGTAACTATCGTACCCATCACTGCACCCTGTATTCACTGGTTAACTGGTCTTCATTAACTTCTTGCAGACTCTCCCACTGGTACATTTTCATCTTTAAATCACTCCTTGGTCTGCTGCCTTCATACATCTCCTCCTACATGTCACTGCGTGAGTCATAGGCGTCGCAACCATTATATGTGAAGGGGACAAGTCCCCCCCACATTAAAAAAATGTTCATTTGGCCCCCCTACTTTTACTATGAAACATTAGTTCAGTCGGCGCAGTTTCTCTTTCTTTGTGAACAAATCCATTTCACTTGATTAATAGGAGAATACTCAAGCCACTAAAACTCCACTCCAGGTTTTCCTGGTTACCTCCAACTCTAAACACAGCAACCTGCTGCCTGCACTGTTTTCTCGTCTACGTCTCCTTCTGCCTCGACAGAAAACGTGCACAGGTGGAGGAGGTGGAGACACCTCTGTGTTGCTCGCTCGCCAATTTAGCGAACTTATTGCGGGCAGTTGTTGACCGGGGGGGGGGTCGATCATAAAGAGATATTCGTGTTGTGAGGATGCGAGAGGAGCACCACGTCTGTAGCATCTGAGCTTAGTGCTAAGTGTGTGATGCTGTCAGACGCTGCAGGTGTAAGAGACGTGTGTTCAGGTACATTAATGTTGAAATGTCTTTAAAACCCCACACCTTATTGTCCTCAAGCTTCGTGAGAAACATCATTTAGATGAGTAGTGTTGAACACAAGTAAAAATGTCTAGTGGTGATGTTTATTATTTCTCTATAAACACAAATTTTGCCGACCTGACGCTCTGTATTAAAGTGCAATAAAGTTAAAATGTCTTTAAAAACCACCGCTGAATTTACACAAACTTTGTGAGAAACATGTTTTAAATGTGTGGAATTAAAGGAAATCTAGGTGAAATTATGTTTTTTTTGTTCACTATTGTACACTTTTTTACACGCACACACACACACCTACACACATCATTGTGTCCCCCCCACATTACGGATGCTTCTTTTTTTTTTGTTATTGTTGTGAGCTCAGTTTAAGTGTAGAAACATTGTGAAGTGTTTCAATGAACTTATCATCATCGCACAATTTTTTTTTTTTTTTTTATTTTTTTTTAAAGAAAGAGAAGAAAGAAGAATAAATAAATAATAAAAGAGAAGAAGATAAAACGAGAGATCACCATGACAAAACAACATGCACAGCACAATGCCACCCACAATATCACCATGAAACATTCGACATCGCACAAGGAATCATCTAGCTTCCACCACTACCCAACCTAGCGTGCATCTGTCAAAGCACCTGAATCCAAACACTCGTGCAAGCACGCCCGCCACCACCAGATTTCTACAAAAGAATGCCCAATAGTGGACGCGGGGGCCCACAGACCCGCCCCCCCAGGACACAATGGCAACATAGGGAGGACCGGAGCCACAGACACACAGCGGCCCACAGGCCCGGAGCCCCAAGAGTCTCCCAACAGGGAGAACCGCACCCCCCCAGACAGGAGCAGAGGAAAGAACCGGGTGACCCCAGCCACCACAATGCAGAGCCTCCAGGAAGCTGCAGCGACGAGCCCACAGGCCCGGCCGGCGACCCATGCCCCCCCCAAGTAGATCCGGCCATGGACACCTAGCCCCAAGCCCCGAGGCCATACCACCCCCCAGCAGAGCCCCGACAGAGCCAGGGCACCCAGGCCCCGCCAGGCAGCAACCAGGGCGGACCGACGTGCACCCCACCACCCAGCCCAGACACCGAGAGCCACCAATGCACCGGTGGCAAGGGGGTCCCCCGCCAAAGGGGGGCACGACCGGGGGGAGTGGGCCCCACACCAAACGTGGGGCCCAAATTGATCCAAGAGAGGGGGGACCACCAAAAACCCAACCTGAGCAACCAACAGGCACACACAGATAGCCCGACAGAATCTCTGTCGGGCCGACCGCATGCACCATCTACCTGACAGCGACCACAGGCCGGCCCCAGCCCAAGGGGCAGAGCAGCAGGGAGCCGCAGCTGAGGAGGGCCGGCTCTCACATCAAGAGCTCCGCACCATAGGCCCGGAGACGCCCCAGCACGCCACCCATGCACCCCCCCCACACACACAGCACCCCCACTGCAAATGCCACACAGGAATTACGGATGCTTCTGATGCCCTTGGCATGAGTGCAGCTACAGCGTGCACTCTCAGGACATTATTACATGCAGTGTTCCCTCACTGCGGACTGAACTAGGCAAAAGGGCCTTTTACTCCGCTCCTGTTTCCTGGAATATCTTGCAAAAACATCTGAAGCTCTCGACCTTGACCTGTTTAAGTGGCTTCAAACATCTGTTAAGTTCCTGACAAAAACCAGTGTTCCTGTTTTTAGTTTTCTGCATCACTTTATAATCTTTCTGTTTTTTTCGCTACTTTTCCTTTCGATTGTCCTTTTGGTTGCCATTTTATTTTAACTTGTTTAAAAAAAATTGTATGCATCTTTTACGATTGTCTATTGTTGTCATTGTTGTCTACTGTTGTCATCACAAAGTCAGATCTCTCTTGTAAACGAGTCCTCGAGGCTCAGTGGGATTAACCTGAATAAATAAAAGTTGAATGAAAAAAAAAAATCTTTATTGATATTTCTGCTTGTGTTTTTCCAAGTTGACTTCCACCAACGGTGCTCTGTGCATCGTAAATCCACTCTACCTTCATGAACATGGAGACGACTGGCTGACTCACAGGACAGCAGCTGTACAATCCTCCATTAACAGACAAGAACGCCGCCTCAGCACCACCCGAACATGGGCAGGGTCAGGTCTACAGAATAAGCGAGCCATCTCTTTGGAGCAAGAATCCTCTGCTGTCAGTCCAGAGGGTGCAGGTCAGAACTTAAACGTTTTAGACATAAATGAGAATCTATTTTAGACATTTGCATTTTAGGCATTCAGTTTGGCTCTTAATTTAAAAGAACTTTGTGTTTGTTTGCCACGTTTTCCTTGTAAAGGTCTAGTAAGAGCCAGGTCAGCTGATTCCTCCTCCGCCCAGCCAACACCAACAGAAGTGGTCCTCAGGAGGCCAAGCAAGGATTTTCTCAACAGTGCCCCTCAAAAAGTGAGCACAGGGAGCCTTTCCATTTCCTCCACCCCAGGAAGCACCACACCTGAGCTGCATCGTCACAGTAGCCCTGTGCCTCAGTGTCCTCATCGGGTGTCCTGGATTGAAGATGGGTTTTGGTTGCCTCCACCCAGGCCCTTGTCCTTACTCCACCCCCCTTCACTGGAGCTCGATTCGCTGTCGATCAGCAGCATAGAGGAAGAGCAGGAAACCTACATCCCAAGCCCCTCATCACACACTCCACAACCACACCGTTTGGCCAATAAAGTCATAAACCGTCTCTCAGCTGTGGGCCAGGCGCTGGGAGGGCTGGTGTCCCAGAAGAAAAGACTGATCAATCGAGTGCAGGAGCTGAGCGAGAGGAAGGGCAGGGCCTTTGCTGAAGCTGTGAAGGGATTTGTGGACGTGACTCTGAAGGGAGGTACTGACCCCAGTGGTGTGACAGGGTCAGAGTTCTTACAGGAAGTGAGGTCATCGCTTACATCACTGAGGGAGATGCTCCTGGACTGTCCAGACATCCAGGCCATATTGGACAGCATTACTGACCTCAATGACTTTGAGATCGGTTAGTGAGCTGTCAACACAGTAATGTCAAATATTGTTAACATGATTATCAAAGTAAATAGTTTTGACAATCTTATAACTTGAGTTTTTGGTGTTAATTTCTTCTTGCTTTGTTTTGAATCCCCATCCCCCATAGAGTCCCTGGTGGAGCTGTCCCTCCACAAAGTGGCTCTAAAGCCCGTTTCTGCTCATCTCTACAGCTGCATTCACACGTCCTGCACCAACAACGGCAGCTTTGAGCGGCTCCAAAGCAACTTTCTTCTGCTGGAGAAGAAAAAAGTACAGGAACTGGGGGGTTCAGCGGGAGTTGGAGTTCCTGACTCTATCATACTGGAGCGGATACAACAGAGGTGGAATAGTATGCACGGGACCTACTCCCCAAACAAGAAGATTCAGATTCTTCTCAAAGTCTGCAAGAGCATTTATCACAGCATGAGTGCTAACGGTAGTTCAGGTGGGCTGGTAGTGATTTGGGATCAGGAGGATTTCAGTCCCAGCTATCTCTCTCTGGGTGTGACTAATCTTGCTGACGCTCTCATCTCATGCAGGGACGGTGTTTGGAGCAGATGATTTCCTACCCTGCTTGACATGGGTGCTGCTGCGAAGCAACTTAGTCGCCTTACAGGTGGATACAGACTACATGATGGAGCTGCTGGACCCTACACAACTGCAGGGAGAGGGTGAGGCCTATACACCTGTAGTAGACAGCAGCCAAACACATTTCAGTCAAAAAATCATGAAGATGTTCTTATGGGTGTGGCTGTGATGCAGTGATGGGCAGTTGACTTGGGACCAGAATGTCACAAGTTCATCTCCCTGCCTACCATGCCCACATGATGTGATGTCCTTCTGCAAGCTCTCTATTCCCTCACTGCTCCCCAGGTGCTTACATAGCTGTTTGCTGCTCCACCTGTGTGTATTTTATGTGTGTTGAGTTAAGTGCAGAGCAAAAATTTCATCGTTGTTTGAGAACATACAATAATGACAATAAATAGCCATTTCACCTAACATCGTGTTTATATTTTATAATGTACTTGGATGAAACCCCACCCATATTTGTAACTGAATTTAAGGAGGCATAATATTGGAATTTAAGGAGATGCAATGTAGAGCAAAGAGGAAGGTGGCAAAGGTGAAGCAGAAGGCATATGATGAGTTGTATGGGTTGTTATATGTTGCATGAGTTGTATGGCTGAACACTAAAGAGGACGAGAAAGGCTTATACTGATTGGCAAGACAGGGGGATCAAGCTGGAAAGGATGTTAGAATATAGGTTAGGTTTGTTAAAGATATAAATGGTATTGTTCTAAAAAGTGAGGAGAGTGTGACAGGAAGATAGGAGTACTCTGAGGAGTTAATGAATGAAGAGAATGAAAGAGAAAGAAGAGTAGAGGTCATATAAACTGTGGACAAGGTAGTGGGAAAGATTAGTAAATGGAATGGTAAATGAACTGTACTTATATAGCGCCTTTCTATCTTATTACGATACTCAAAGCGCTTTACACTAAAATCTGTGCCCTCATTTACCCATTTGTACAGCACTCTACTATTTATTTTTATTTATATATTATACATTTATGGGCAGCACGGTGGCACAACTGGTAGAGCTGCTGCCTGTCACCGAGCAGGTCCCTGGTTCAAATCCCGGTCCGGGGGCCTTTCTGGGTGGAGTTAGCATGTTCTCTCCGTGCATGCGTGGGTTTTCTCCAGGTACTCCAATTTCCTCCCACAGACCAAAAACATGCTTGTTAAACTGATTGGTAACTCTGAAGTGTCCCTAGGTGTGAGTGAGAGAGTGAATGGTTGTTTGTCTCGTTTGTCTCTATGTGGCCATGTGATGGATTTCCAACCCATCCAGGATGTACCCCGCCCCTCACACAGTGATTGCTGGACGTGGGCACCGGCAAACCCCATGACCCAAAATGAGAGAAGCGAGTAAATGATAATGGATGGATGGATATTTATTTATTTTTATTTATTTACTATTTATGTCTCTACAAAGAATAATCAGTTCTTTAAGAAAACATTTATACACCAATGGGACACACATCAGAAGATATGAGGGGTTCAGTGTCTTGCCCAGGGACACTTCAGCTGGTGGAATCGAACCCCCACCTCTTACATAGGAGGACGACTGCTCTAACTACTCAACCACAGCTGCCCCAAGGGTGCCCCCATTAGTGAGGGTGAAGTCTGGAAAGCTCTGAAAAGAATGAAGGGGAAGGCACTGGCAGTAAGACCTCATGACATACCAGTGGAAGTTTGGAAATGTCTTAGAGAGATGGCAGTGAGGTTTTCGGCTCAAATATTCAATGGCATATTTGAGGGTGAGAAAATGCCTGAGGAATGGAGAAGAAGTGTGCTGGTGCCCATTTCTAAGAACAAGGGTGATATACAGAGTTGTAGCAACTACAGGGGAATTAAGTGGATGAGTCACACAATGAACATCTGGGATGAGAAGTGACTATCTGTGAGCAGCAGTATGGTTTCATGCTGAGAAAGAGCACCACAGATGCCATCTTTGCTTTGAGAATGCTGATGGAGAAGTGCAGAGATGATAAAAATAAAAATAAACTCCCTTGTGTCTTTGTTGATTTAGAAAAAGCATGACGGGGTGCTGAGGGAGGAGGTGTGGTATTGCATGAGGAAATCTGCAGTGGCAGACAAGTAAGTTACATTGGTACAGGACATGTATGAGGACAGCAGGACAGTGGTGAGATGTGCTGTAGGAGTGACAGATAGCTTCAAGGTGGAGGTGGGATGCATCAAGGATCAGCTCTGAGCCCCTTCTTGTTTGCTCTGGTGATGGACTGACTAACAATGAGGTCAGGCAGGAATCCCCGTGGACTATGATGTTTGCAGATGACATTGTGACCTGTGGCGAGAACAAGGAACAGGTGGAAGAGAACTTAGAGGTGGAGGTATTCACTTGAAAGAAGAGTAATGAAAGTCAGCCATAATAAAACAGAGTACATATGTGTGAATGAGAGGGAGGCCACTGGAACAGTGAGGCTACAAGGAGCAGAGGTCACAAAGGACTTCAAGTACTTGGGGTCCATTGTCCAGGAAAATGTGTGTGTGTGTGTGGGGGGGGGGGGGGGTGTTAAAAAGAGAGTCCAGGCAGTGGATGGAAAATGAGTGATTACATGAATGATACAAAGGAGTGATTTGTGACAAAAGGATGTCAGTAAAGGTCAAAGGAAAAGTTTACAAGACAGTGGTGAGACAAACTATGGTGTATGGTCTGGAGACAGTGACATTGACTAAAAGTCAGGAGAAAGAACTGGAAGTGGCAGAAATGAATATGTTGAGGTTCTCCTTAGGAGTGACAAGGATGGATAAGATTAGGAATGATATTAGAGGTACAGCACAGGTTGAACAACTGGGAGATAAAGTTAGAGATGCCCGACTGAGATTTTTGGACATGTCCAGAGGAGGGACAGTGGCTATATTTGTAGAAGGATGTTAGAAATGCAGCTGCCAGGAAAAAGACAAAGAGGAGATATATGGATGCAGTTAGAGAGGACATGGGGGTAGTTGGAGTGAGGACAGAGGATGCGGAGGACAGAGTGAGATGGAGGAGGATGACTTGCTCTGGTGTCCCCTGAAGAGGGAAAAGCCGAAAGAAAATGTAGAAGAAGAATTTTCATTGAATTTGATTTAACAGATTTCTTCAGATATTTGCAATTGTGCTCATTTCTGACTCCACATAGAGAACAGGAAAGAGTATTAAACCCCACACCAACAGAAAACTTCCTAACTCAATTTAAAAAATGTGAAAGCGATAAGAAAGTGATAACAAAGTTATCACATCCTCATTAATCTTTCCCACTTCCTGGTCCACAGCTTCTATTACCTCTACTCTTCTTTCCTGATTATTCTCTTCATTCATTAGCTCCTCAAAGTACTCCTATCTTCCCATCACACTCTCCTCACTTGTTAGAACATTACCTTTCCTATCTTTAACAAGCCTAAACTGCTGCACATCTTTTCCAGCCTGATCCCTCTGTCTTGCCAATCGGTACAAGTCCTTCTCGCCCTCTTTAGTGTCCAGTCTCCCATACAACTCATCATACGCCCTCTGCTTTGCCTTAGCTACTTCCCTCTTTGCTCTACGTCCCATCTCCTTATATTCCTGTCTCCTCTCTTCAGTCCTCTCACTGTCATATTTATTTGTGGCTAATCTCTTTCTTTGAACGTCGTCCTGCACTTCTTTATTCCACCACCAGGTTTCCTTATCATCCATTCTCTGTCCAGATGACACACCAAGTATCTTCCACCTGTCTCTCTAATAACTGTTGCTGTAGTATTCCAGTCATTTGGAAGCTCTTTCTTACCACCCAGAGCCTTTAACAGCTCCTCTCTGAAATTTTCACAACATTCTTCCTTCTTTAACTTTCACCATTTGGTCTTCTTCTCTGATTTTACACTTTTTCTCTTCTTCACAACAACAGTCATTCTACACACAACTATCTGATGCAGTCTGGCCACGCTCTCTCCTGCCACAACCTTACAGTCTCCAATCTCCCTCAGGTTTCCTCTTCTACACAGAATGTAGTCGACCTGCGTACTCCTTCCTCCACTCTTATAGGTCACTCTATGTTCCTCACTCTTTTGGATATAAGTGTTGATTACAGCTATTTCCATTCTCTTGGCAAAATCCACCACCATCTGTCCTTCAAGGTTTCTTTCCTTGACAACAAACCTACCCATCACTTCCTCATCTCCTCTGTTTTCTTCACCAACATGTCCATTCAGGTCTGCTCCGATCACCACTCTCCTTCCTGGGAGCACTCTCTATCACTTCATCCAGATCCTTTCAAAATGTATCTTTCTCCTCTATGTCACATCCAACCTGTGGAGCATAACCACTGACAACATTTAGCATAAGACCTTCTACTTCTACCTTCAGGCACATCATCCTATCTGACACTATTTTCACCTCTACTACATTCTTTGTCAACTCCTCCTTCAGGACCACCCCTACTCCATTCCTCTTTCTATCTGCACCATAGTAAAACAGTTTGAACCCTGCTCCAATGCTGCGAGCCTTGCTCCCCTTCCACTTGGTCTCTTGGACACATAAAACATCTACCTTCCTTCTCTGCATCATGTCAATAAGTTCTCTACCTTTGCCTGTCATTTCCCCACAATTAGAGTTGACACCTTCAGTCCTACATTCTTCACTTTCCTCTTCTCCCTCTGTCTCCTGACACGTTTCCCTCCTCGTGGTCTTCGACTAACAGCAGGACAATTTCTGCTGGCACTCTGTTTGTCAACAGCACCGGTGGTGGTCGTTGTTAACCCTGGCCTCGACCGATCTGGTATGGTGTTGTTTAGATGAACTTGCATGTTATTTCTGGCTACAGTGTTTTACGCCGGATGCCCTTCTTGACACAGCCCTCACCGTTTACCGGGGCTTGGGACCATCACAAGAGATACTGTGTTATAGAGGCTGGTTAAAATGTCTAATACAGCAGTTATTCAAAGTGTAAAAAAATGTTTGAGTTTTGGAGGTCCACTCTTGAATGAACCCAGTTTGAAGTAGTTGTCATCTTAGAACTCACTAAAACAATATTTCTTAAGTTTACTTGTCTACTGCAGGTAATATACTGTCTGCTTATACACATAAACCCAAAGTTAAAGAAGATAACCAATCACTTTAAATTTGCTCATACTCATAAAATCAAAGATAAGTCTTTGTGTGCTAAAGCAGCATTTATCTGACTGATTATTTGCTCTTATCCACAGGTGGCTACTACCTTACAACTCTATATGCCTCTCTGTACTACATCAGCAGCTTCCGGCCACGGCTGGCTGCCCGCCAGCTCAGCATGGAGGCCCAAAACTCCATTAACCAATGGCATCGCAGGCGCACGTTGTACTGCAATCAAGCGCGTCGCAGCAAACACCGACAGACGATTCGCAGGCAGTCGTGTCGAGACCAGAGCAAGCGGAAGTCCAAGACAGAAATTGGGTGTAAGAATGAAAGTGGAAATTGTTCTGAAAGTGACGGTGTTTCGGAGCAGCAGACAATAAGAAGCTCAGAGGCCCCACAGACTCTATGGGAAAATGCACAGAGAGAAGAGAAAAACCAGGATGAATCACAAAGCACTGCACCAACATCAAACGGCCAACACGCAACGCAAAGCGCAACACAGCAAGAGTTGACGACCAACGCACAGGAGGATGGACAAACTGTCTGACAGAGGAGGAGCCGCAAAATTAATTCTGAGAAGAAAACCGGGAACCACACCTAATGAGAGCAAAACCGTTGGCTTTCTGTCAAACACACATTTAAAGAATTCATCACCGATTTCCACTGAGTCAAACAGACGGCTCTCCTTTTACATGCATTATTAACACCCTGGTGACAACGCTTTTATCACTGCTCCGTCACAGCAGCAAGGTTCTTGGTTTTAAACTTGATCTAAATGCTGTTTTCATTTCATTTAAAGGAATAGTTCAGATCTTTTGAAGTAGAGTTATGTTGTAAGGTTATTAACAATGAATGTCTTACCTGTTGTACATAGCTCTTTGAACAACATGAGTTTGGAGCTTCCCACTGGATTGACAAGCTGATAGTTAATCCGAGCACAGAACGAGGATCAAAGTGGATTGTTAGTGTTTAAAAATAACTCCAACATCAAACACGTCATTTCAGTTTCTGCGAGAACTTTCACATAAACTTTTACGCCAGTTTCACATTTATAAATAGAGGTCAAGTGACATGAGTTTTTCAGTGATTATGCAGATTTTTAGCATGGACCAGCTGATGGACAATAATCAACAACCAAAAAAAAAACATTTTCCATTTAACTTAATACAACAATAATCCATCCATCCATTATCTTTATCCACTTCTTCCTTTAATTGCTTAACATAAGTTAATGTACATTTAACAACGCTTAAATGAACTTGTTTAGGTAAAATAAAGAGGAGTGCTCGTTTTTTTATTTTTTTATCCTAATTTACGGACTATAGTAATCTGGCTGTAGCAGCTGATGCTGCTTTTTTTTTTTTCCTTTTTTTGACAACTGATTAAGTGTGGCACATGCAGGATGCAGGACGAATTACAGATTATTTAAAGAAACCACAAGTGGTTAATTGATTAATTTGTCCATGTTTAACTACGGGTTAATTCTAACAGAAATATTATGATGTTACCACAAGCTACACTGGAAGTGCTACAGTTAGCTGCTGCTAGTGCTTGGATTATTTTTTTAATTTATTTATTTTAGTAACTAATCATGTAGTGTGAAGTTGGCAGTGGTGTAAAATATTGTAAACTATGTCCTGATGCATGCTCAATAATCCAGGTAGAAAAATCTAAAAAAAAGTTAAATCTGGTCCTCTGGACATTCAAAAAAGCAAAACAAAGCAAAACAACAAAAAAAATGTAGAAACATTTCGTCTTTCATCCGAAAGACTTCCTCAGTCTGAGGTGCTGTATTCTTATTCTTCTTCTGTGAGGTTTAATGGCAACTTACATCCCTCAAGGTGTATTACCGCAATCTAAAGGTACTATTTAGAACTAGTAGTTATAAGTGCTCCGATAAACTTAGATTCTCTTGTATAAACCTGTTGCCCTCAGGAAATACATAAAGTATTTGCGTCCATATTTACTGGATCCCCATTCTAATATGCTCTTCAAACATATAGGACTTATTACGTCATTTGTCATTTGGTCTAGTACACGTTTCCTTTCGGTTGAATATTTTAAACAGTCCAAAATAACGTGTTTTCACAGACTCTGTACTTTGGCAAAAGTCACAATGTCCACTATTATGTTTCCCTATAATAAACAATGGACTGTTCAGATTTGTATGACCTATTCTTAATCTTGTTAATATAGATTCCTCCCTCCTATTTCCTAAACTGAGGTGCTGTTTTCAGCTCAGTCTCTTAAATAGCACCTTCTCAGAGTGGATCAACCAGTTTGCTGCTGACAACCAAAACCAGCTGATCACATGCTCAAGAAGGACCATCAGCCTAACAATGGATCATTAGAACACTGATGGCTGTTTACTATTCACAGAGGGCTGAGTGATACTAGCAATCACAGCATTGTAAGAGGGGGACAGTTGAACCCGGAGGCCTCCACCCCTGTTTAACGATGGACGGTTTCTTTTCACAAAGATGGCCTCCTTTACTCCTCTCTCAAACCATCGTTCCTCTCTGTCCAGGATGTGAACATCTTCATCCCTGAAAGAGTGACCGCTGGCCTGGAGATTAATGTAGACCGCAGAGTCCTGGCCTGATGATGTTGATCTTCTGTGCTGGGCCATCCTTTTGGCCAGTGGCTGTTTTGTTTCCCCGATGTAAGACTGATCACCCTCCTGACACTGAACAGCATACACAACATTACTCTGTTTGTGCCGGGGGACTGGATCTTTGGGATGAACCAGTCTTTGCCGTAATGTATTTTGGGGTTTAAAAGCCACTGGGACGTTGTGTTTAGAAAATAAACGTCTCAGTTTCTCTGATACTCCCTCAACATATGGAATGACCACTGGTCTGGGTCTGGGTTCCTCCTTTTCACCTGTTGGCTGACTGGAGTCATGTTTGGGTTTCTTCTCTGCTTTCAGGAAGGCCCAGTTAGGATATCCACATTGCTCTAGAGCCTGTCTTGTGTGGGATTTCTCCTTCTGCCTGGCTCCTGAGCTAGTGGGGACGCTGTCTGCTCTGTGATACAGAGTCCTGATGACTCCTAACTTGTGCTCCAAAGGGTGATGGGAGTCAAACTGCAAATACTGGTCTGTGTGGGTGGGTTTGCGGTACACCTCAGTTTGCAAATGTCCTCTATCAGAGACTGAGACCTCACAGTCCAAGAAAGCCAACTTGCCATTTTTTACATCTTCTCGTGTGAACTTGATGTATTTATCCACAGAGTTGATGTGGTCAGTAAAATGTTGGACTTCCTGAGATTTGATTTTAACCCAGGTGTCGTCAACATACCTGAACCAATGACTTGGTGGTGTCCCTGAAAAGGACGTCAAGGCTCTCTTTTCTACCTCCTCCATGTACAGGTTGGCAACAATAGGAGAAACTGGAGACCCCATAGCACACACATGTTTCTGCCTATAATATTGCTCCCCATATGTGAAGTAGGTTGACTGCAGGCACAGTTTCAAGAGTTGACACAGTTGTTCTGTGGAAAGCGTGGTCCTGCTGCTCAGAGTGGTGTCTGATTTTAATTTTAAACTGACCACCTCTACTGCATCATCAACAGGAATGCACGTAAAGAGTGACGTGACATCAAAAGAGACCATTGTTTCATCAGTCTCCATGACGACATCCCTCATTTTGTCCACAAAGTCCATGGTGTTCTGTATGTGGTGTTCTGAGCTGCCAACTAAAGGGATGAGTACAGACGCCAGATATTTGGAAACATTGTAAGTGACAGAGTTAATCATGCTAACAATTGGTCTTAAAGGTACACCTTGTTTGTGGATTTTAGGTAAACCATACAGACTAGGTGTGGCCTCCCCTGGGTACAGTCTGTGGTACAGAATACGGTCAATAGCCTTGTCCTGCTCCAAAATTTTCAGGCAGTCTATTAACTTCTTCTTGTAACCACTTCCTGGATCTCTTTTCAGAGGTTCATAAGTGTTTAAGTCACTAAGGAGTGTCATAACTTTCTCATGATAGTCTTTCTGGTTCAAAATCACTGTGCACCTTCCTTTGTCTGCTGGGAGAATGATGATGTTTTTGTCCTTGCTAAGAGTGGTGAGTGCATCCCTCTCCTCTCTACTGATGTTGGAAGGTGATGGTTTGGCATTGCTGAGGCAGGATGAAACTTTGATTCTGAGTTGTTCTGCTTCACCCTCTTTCATTTTGTTGTTGCGGATGACTGATTCTGTGGCTGTGATCATCTCCACCAGAGGAATTCTAGTTGGTGCAACCGCAAAGTTCAGTCCCCTGGCAAGAATATCCGTCTCCAGCTGGGTGAGCTGTCTGTCAAATAGTTGTAAACTATGGTTTGGGAAAAAATGTTGTGAATTTTTTTAGTTTGAAGTTGTTCTAAAATGGCACTAATTAAATCTAAACCCCACACGTACTAGCCTTTATCTCATCAATCCAGTCAGAATTAGACTTTATTCCTCCATCTGCAACTGATAAAACATTAATTGTTCATATTTCTACAAATCCACACTTCCAGAAAACTGAACTATCCCTTTAATTCCTGTGTTATCAAGACATGATGGGTAAACAGGAAACAGGAGTCTCAAGAAAATGTGATGTGTTAATGATTTAAAGTAGTTTGAACAGACTAAAGCTAATATTAAATTTGTACAAAAGTTAAGTAATTTATGCCATTAAGCACCATATTATAATTTGTACATCTTTAGATAACATATTACATTAGAGTTTTTAATCAGTGCTTCATTTTATTTAAAATATTCCTCTGACCACGTTTGTTGTATAAGTCTTTGTTTTTTTCTATTTCACAATTGCAGTCACTTAAAATAATGATGTTAAAAGAATAAACTGAAAAAATGCTTGCAGTTGTTTTTGGTGTTGACATTTATTTTTCAAGTTAAAATGTTCTGATAGTTTGTTTCTTCTTCTGATTATTCTTACTATTATTGTTACTATTGTAATCATTATCATTGTGATTAAAATAAAACATGATCTGTCATTTGCTGGTGCATAATATTGCTCCATGTCTGTTGTGCACTTAAATATTTCCGAATATTTCTCCTTTGAGATGAACTCCCTAAAACCCAACAGATAAGTTTTTTAGCTCTGCTCTTTGTTTCTCCTGTCGTTTTCACCGTTTATTGAAGTGACCACTAGGGGGCAGCACTAAACCAGCTCTAAAATTTAAATCTTTTTTTTGTTTTTGTTATTAAAACTTGCAGCTTTCACAAATATCTATGAACTAAATTATGCGTTTAATGTGGGACTTCTTGGAGTGGTGAAGCAAAATCCAGAAGATCAATTTATCATAAAGCCTACATTTATTAATCAGGTGAATCTCATCGAGA